AAAAAAAAAACTGTCGAACAAATAATGAGACTGACAGTGCTAATTTACCAGTCGCGTGTTTCATTTCAAAACCACATATACAGGGGGGTCACGGCTCGGGGTGAGAAAAATGAAACTCATTAAATTCGATGTGTCACGCATCAATTGAGGAAACTGTCGCTAGGCTATAAAAAAGTAAATTTGAAGGTCAAAAGGGAACTTGGAAAGAATAGAATAAGCTGTGTGTTAATCTCCGCCAGCAAATCAGCTAACTTCCACACCGACAACCTTGGTGGTCTAGATATTTATTGATGTTGATTGGGTCAAACCAGCAGCGATGCCAATTTCGACGTCTTGTCAGATCTGTATTAGCTTAAAATGGAAAGTACCAGCTGACTCGTGCTCGTACGCGTCTAACGTCAAAAATGAGTATAGCTTACTTAGTGAATTGGATGCTCAAATTATTTTTGTGTTACGACTTTCTACTTTCGTACAAACTAGTCGGCACATTTTTTTGAGGTGCAATGGAGTGAGACCGAAGCAGATCCGTACAAAGTGTATGCTGTATACTATCGACAGGAAAACAGTGATGCAGATTTCACCGTCGTAAAAACAAGCAGTACAGAAGTGGTCCTCGATAACTTGGACCCAAATACAAATTACGATCTTGCGCTAGTCTCCGCCAACGCTCTTGGACATTCACCATTCCTCGAAATGAAAATCGTCGGCACATCCGGTAATGTATTTTCAAAAACTTTAGCAATTTTTAAAAATTTTCTAAAGTTCGGCAGCGAAGCGCAGGAATACGAAAGCGTGAGGACGGACGCTTACGAAAGCACAGTCCAATGTAACCCTTGTAAAATTTACTTTCAGGTTACGCTGGAAGTACGGGCCATACTGTCACTACATTATTCTTCTTTTTATTCTTGATTGCTGCAGCGGCAGCATGCACTCTGTATACGGTGCGAACAAATGCCTGGCCGAAGATTTTACAGAAACTAAATCGCAACCATCCGCTTTCTGATCGTGATCCAACAGTGGCTTTTGAAAATCCGGGATACGGCACCGAGGTGCAAATTCGTGGATTAGCAGGTCACTCAGATCCAGTGTCGGCCACTGAATGGCAGAATGCAGATCTCGAAGTTGCTGATAACATGGCCACGGAAGCTAACAATGGTATGAGGTACGCAAAACTGAACAGCTCCTAGGACGTGCCCTTCCTGGAATCGTATTCTGCACTGTTTTGCTTGTGGCAACAGGTGTCCGTCTGCACCTTGCAAATGCTCAACATCACTCTTAAAAACGGTAAAAGTAATGAGGTAACACAAATCGCGGTGATCCAGTTGCGCTTCTCATCAGCGTTCTGTTGCTCTACAGTGCCAGTGCTATGGCACGACACTCGCGTTACAGCGTTCTTCTTTTTAACTTCATTGTTAATTAAAAACAACGGGTTTTTGCTTTGTTCAGCATATGTATTGTACAAAAATGATTTTAAGCTGATCATCACATCGAATGCAGTTGTGTTGTATTTCGGATGATTTCGCGCCTTCCATTGCACCCCAACTGTAATATGTGTAGTTCCACGAGATAGTTCACGTAGAAGCTCATGCACTCAGCCCAATTATTTTTCTGTTATTTTTTTTTTCCTATATTTCCAATTTATTAACTTTTGAGAGTCAAAAGCTAACATTGGTGTTTCCGA